CGCGATCCGCCTCAAATGGGCGGGGCGACCCCGCCCCATCGCGCCAACCGACATGCACCCGTGCACAGCTGTCCAGCATTGAATAGGGCAAGCACCCGCAAGGGTCAACGAGGTCCTGGCACGAAAATCTGTTCGCAGACTTTTGGCTGGTTTCCAGAATCTCTTACGGGAATATTCTTGGCTAAATTCTGTTTCTTCCATTTTTCCAATAAGTGGGCAAAGTGGATGCTCATTCTAAGTTGAAGTTTTGCAAAAATCGTTTCGTTTTGTGCTCCGAATCTTAGTGAACTAGTGTTTTTAGATATTTCGGAATACGATGAATTTAATGTTCTTTATATACATGTGGTTCCTTTTTCATAATATTTGTACTTGTCGTTCACAGGAGAATTGTTGATTTAATCAAATGGCATCTGGTGCCGAAGCTCTCCTCGCCCTTACGGGTAAACGTACCACCGGTCAAAGCATTCGCACACAAAATGGTGAGAATTTCCTTGATCTAATCTTTAGTGCAGTTCTTCACTATTCAAGGATGTGGTTTCTTCCTAGGAACATTTTCGATTTCAAATAGGATGGTAGTAAAGGATCTTCGAAAAACTGCAAAAAAACTGAATTTAGACACTTACTTTCATGTTTACTTGTATCGTAGTTTCATCTTTAAGTGATGGCTGCTGTGGCAATCGCAAACGTCGTGAAGTCTTCTCTTGGTCCGGTTGGACTCGACAAGATGCTCGTTGATGATGTTGGGGTGAGTATCGTTCATTTCGTTCTATACGTATAGGTATTGGTTGAAGTGAACTATAGAAGCTTCCAGTTGGACGTAGAACCTACATGCCCCACACTCTAACTCCAACATGCCTATTTTATGCTGAGACAATTCTTTAAGGATGTCATTGTGACAAACGACGGTGCTACTATTTTGAAGCAACTTGAAGTTGAACATCCAGCTGGGAAAGTCCTTGTTGAACTAGCGCAGCTTCAAGACGAGGAGGTGTTTTTTTTTTCAACGTAGTTTAAATGATTTTGGGCTCAAGTTCTTTGTAGAATATTGGTTAATACTACATCTGCTTTGTTTTCATATGGTTAGGTATATTTCAAACAAATATCCCGTTATATTATTTGTTTACCTCAAGATAACAAGTTACCTGCGATAAACTATGTCTAACCTCTGTTACAGTTTATCATGGATAGTACGGTTCTACAGCTGATTAAGACTTTTCAGTAGTAAATTGCCAATGGACCGCTGCAGACAGAGTCAGGAAACTGGCATACTTGTTTAGGTTGGAGATGGTACGACATCAGTGGTCATCATTGCTGCTGAATTACTGAAAGCGGCTGATGAGCTTGTCAAAAACAAACTTCATCCTACCACCATTATCAATGGATACAGGCTCGCGTGCAAGGAAGCTGTTAAGTACATGCAGGTTTGCTTGTTTATGCTTGTTTGTTCCCTCAAATTTCAATGTAATATACTTTCTTTTCCTTCCCCTACTTTACATATTCTCCTTATTCGCGTCTCTACAATTTAAGATTGTTTGCGTGAAAACAGAATGTCGTTAAAACTTGCCAACAAACAACTTTATTTCAGGAAAATTTGTCTTTTTCCGTCGATGAGTTAGGTCGCCAATCACTTATCGAGGCTGCGAAAACTTCTATGAGTAGTAAACTTATTGGAGCGTGAGTATTTCTACGGCGATTTTTTCTTGTTACTATTACACGTATTTGATTTCTAGGGATTCGGAATTCTTCGCTTCGCTTTGTGTCGATGCAGCCGAAGCAGTAAAAGTGACGGATGCGGCTGGCAAAGTAAGATCACCGATTAGTTGGTAATTTAATTTCAAGGTAATATGTTCGTTACAGGTTACCTATCCAATTGCTGCCGTTAATGTTCTGAAAGCTCATGGGAAGAGTGCTCGTGAATCGATGCTTATAAAAGGGTACGCTTTGAACTGCACCGTTGCTAGCCAAGGTAAAAAGTAGTTGAAATATTTGCTTCTGTGCAATCGTGTTACATGCTTGGCTTTTGCACTGTTCGCTCGTATTTCAGCTATGCCACTGCTTGTTTCAAATCCGAAAATTGCCTGCTTGGATTTCTCTTTACAAAAAGCCAAAATGCATCTTGGTATCTCCATTGTTGTCGATAACCCTGAAAAGTTGGAGGCGATCCGACGAGAGTGAGTTTCTGCTGCTGTTCGCTGTTATTCTTATAGGTATTAAGATTGAATATTTAAGGGAATTCGACATCACGAAGCGTCGAATTGAGAAAATATTGAAATCAGGAGCAACTGTTGTTCTTACCACAGGAGGTTCGCTAGATCGCCTTCTTACCTTTGTTTTTATTTCATATGTTCAAAATGCTATGGATGTAATTCAGGAATTGATGATCTCTGCTTGAAACAGTTCGTTGAAGCGGGTGCGATGGCAGTGCGAAGATGTAAAAAGACGGACTTGAAGCGGATTGCTAAGGCTACTGGCGGTTAGTTTCATAGAAAATCTTACCGTGTATTATTAGTTTTGCTTGTTATATGCTAGCTTGCCAGCTTTCTTTATTTCTATTTCTTATCACTCTCCATGAATTGTTCGTTTAAATCAAACAGAATAATAATTTCTGCTGTATATTATTGAGACGGAAGTATAATACTTCAAACATTTCGAATTTTTGAGCTATGTAGTCATTAATGAACCTTTCAGCAACCCTAGTGAGCTCACTGGCGAACTTGGAAGGAGAGGAAACCTTCGATGCGTCGCTTCTTGGTCACGCAGAGGAGGTGGTCCAGGTGAGAATCAGCGATGACGAACTGATTCTTGTCAAAGGTCCTAAAGCACGCACTGCCAGTTCAATCATTCTCAGGTACATTGCCAGTATTGAACTTTGCTATAACGTTATTTCTCTTTCCTTGTTCATCTTATTGGCCGTTCTAGAGGAGCCAACGATGTGATGCTCGATGAAATGGAACGATCAGTTCACGACGCACTTTGTGTTGTTCGTCGTGTGCTAGAGAGTCGCCGGCTAGTTGTAGGCGGTGGTGCAGTGGAAACAGCGTTGAATGTATGGCTGGAAGCATTTGCAACCACTCTGGTCGGTATTTCTACGTCATCTTCGCGTTCAATAGTACTTCACACCTTTCAAAATTGATGTTTTACTAGAAATATAGTTGAAATAACAGTCCACTGATTTTCCGCTGTATTTTAGTCCTCTCGCGAGCAACTTGCTGTTGCCGAATTTGCACAATCACTCCTTGTTATACCCAAAACACTGTCTGCCAATGCTGCGAAGGACTCAACTGAACTCGTAGCCAAACTTCGAGCCTTCCATCACAAGGCACAAACAAATGCACAATTGCAACATTTGAAATGGTATGTATTTGAATATCTATTGCAAATTCAATCGGTCTTTCTCACTCATTTGCTCGATCAAGGCTTCTGTTGCTTCATAATTCATTATAATTCTGCCGCCTATTATAGGGCTGGCCTTGACCTGGAGTATGGTGATATTCGTGACAACCGTGTTGCCGGTGTCATCGAACCACTTATGAGCAAGGTACGGTACTTTTGAAGTTTTTTTTTTCGATAAATTTGTTAACAACAAGAGAAAATGTGCTCAACTACAGGTGAAATCTCTCAAGTTTGCGACAGAAGCTGCCATAACTATCTTGCGTATTGATGATCTTATCAAACTGGACAAGCCCGAGCCACGGCATGATGAAGATGAGTGCGGAGCGTAAGATGCTTTGATAATAGGAAGTCTTTTGTCTGTTATACGATTACCGATCAGTTTCGGAGTCTTATCAAGATCATCATGTTCAGCTTTGGCACACCTTCTCATAATGCGTTCCGCATCAGTTATTGTTTTGTTTTGTTATCATCCTTTACCTTTTTCATTTTAGACTGTTCATAAATGTTTTGCTTGCCAACTTGTTAGTTCTCTTTTTGAAAATATGTTTTGAAATTATGTTACTAAGGGGTAACATTTAACTTTATTATGAATGATGCGTCTATTCGTAAGAGCAAGTTTTTGTTGCATTCGCCAGCAGACCCGATGGTGGCTCAGAGACAACGACAACCCTGAAATGTATATTTTAGTAGTGGGGGCTTGTAATTCGAAAATTTTATAGTTTTAAAAAGTCTGGGGGAGGGGGAAGGATGAGAAAATACCTAGGATTTTTTGACTGTAGAGAATTGATATTGAGTCTGTGCTTTTCACTGCCCTGTCGCTACCGTTCAATGGCCAGATGATTTCTCGAGCGTTTCAGGACCCTTTTGATGGTATTACCTAATAGCCTGACCAGGAATTCGATAAAAGGCATTTGCAAAAAAAAAGAAGTCCTTACTCTGGTGAAATACTCGTTGATAGGAAGAGTACACAGAGTAGTGCTGTGCCCAATAGATCACCGATAGATGTTAGTAAAGGAATCGCATGTAAATCGGGATCGATGCCAAAATGAAACAACGAGTAAACCACCACCTCTGCCAAGTACAACAGTATGAAACTCTGAAATGAAATCCAGAGGTGTTTTGTGATAAGACAGTTGAAAAAGTAACAGTTCAGACCTTCAAGATTTTTAGGATCTTATTTTATCATAGGAAGTCCTTCATCTCGGAATCGTAGTAATCAGAGCCATTAAACTAGACTAGATTAGACTTCTAAGTACCAGACAATGCTTGTTTTGGTATCATCTAATCATCCCGCAAGAATGGAATAAGTGCCCTGGTCGCCCAAAACAAATGCACAGTGAGAGCTCGTGCTAGAGCAGCGGTAAATGGCGTTACTACCACATGCACATCCCGCGGTCGCATCTTTTATCGAAGCTCGTTTCAGTCATTAAGCCTTTCAATTAACCCATTGGGATACGCTAATGAAATGCATTTCAAATTCAGCGTAATAGTTGGGTACGTGGCGTGTTCCAGAAGGTCAATGATTAGCTGACTTTTATCATTACCATAATACTTCAGAGGAAGAATTGTGGGACTGATTAAGAAAAGTTCGGCTTACAGTTAAGAATGTAAGTGGTACATCCTACCTGTATAAAGACGGTAATGAGATAACCGAGCAGAAACAGAATGTTCAATCTGAGTGGTGTTAAGGCAACATAGGCAACAGCATGAGATAGTAGAACAAATGCTAATTGGTACGGTACGGAAGTCATCAATATCAAAAACGCTGCTCTACTTTCATGATCTGAAATGAGTTTGAGATACAGTGATTACTTATGCAGTTCCACCTGAGAATGCATTAATTTGAAGATCTCGTGTTTCCGTGAATTCCGTGGATCTTAAATTTTGACCGGAGTAATGAACTCCGCCCACTCACATGTCAGGCCCCTTGGCAAAGGTGAACAGAAACAAAACAAATTCGTGGTGTACGATGGGATTAACGGAACAGTGAACAACTCCACACTGTCTCCTCTCCTAGCTAGTTTGTGAGTTCTCTGAATACGCCAAAGAAGGAAGTTTTAAGGAGAACACGGAGAACCCGTAAGTCTTTGAAGTTTTGTGGGAAGGAACGCCCTCAGCTCCTGTTATTTTCGACAGTAGGTCACTCTATCCTTGACCACTTAGTTACCTTGAAAGCTAAAGAAATCAGTGGCTTTACCGTACCCTTATCAGGACCATTGCTCAAAAAGCAGAGATCGTTCATTACCACTACTGTAATCACTGTCTTCTGATCGTAGTACCCCCGTAACCAACACTTTTGTTCTGATAACAACATGGCCTGGAGCTATAACTCTCTCTGTGTTACATGTAGACCACCCCACCTGCACTGGTGTAGTAAATCCAAGGATTTAACCGCATTTTCAGACGACTTGGCCCTTTATATGTGTTCAAATACGATGAAATCCTAGCCGATTGTACACTGGCACGATTTCCAGAAGTTGCTGAAAGTAATACCGGCATCGGAGCTCCGCCAGTTATGGCCCTCGTAACAATTGTGACAACAATAACTCTGTAGATATTCGGCGTATGATTATTTACGAAGGATTTTTGAATTGTAGAGGAGCATTCTCGTCCTCGGAATTGGATCAAATATTTTCCTTAGAGGAATTTGAAAATGTACCAGCCACAAGCGGTTGATAAACGGTAAGTTCCGGAAAGCTCATTGCACCATATGCCTGTACAAGTCCGGCTGCGCTGGAAAGGGGAGTGTTGTAGTAATAGTCAGCCAACTGAGCGAAAATAATGATTTATGTACTCTGCCATTTGTTCGGAAGGACTACTATGGATTTAGATTGAACTGTAAGTTTGAGCATATGGAGGCTCTTAGAAAGGGAGAGAAGCAGTATAAACTGTCCAGATCGGAATCTCAGTTATCTTATCGAAGTGGAGCTTTGAATCGTTGGAGTGCCGATTCTACCCTGTAGCACTATCACGCACACTATCAAGCAGCAAAGACCTCATACACTTTTTGGGGGCAGATGCAACCCTTTCTGCCACTGCACTGTACCTAGAATGAAAAAAAACCTTTAAAACTACAAAGGAGAGCATCTTCAAAAGGAGGAATTATTATAGATTCAACGACTGAATACCAACCTGGATAGGACAGCAGCCAATAAGAATGTAGGGCCTTGTTGACGTGCAGCTATCCAGGCCTCATCATCTTTGTCTAAAATGAGCAACAGATCAAAGGCTAGACAACTAACAGTGAAGGTTATGTAGATAAGAGCTTCCTAACCAGAGAACTCCTATGAGAACCTCATGAAAGTGCTATGTGAACCTGTGATCAGTATGGTTTTATACTGGCTTCTTTACTCACACTCATTTCAACTTTAAGGGGACGTATTCATGGTTTAATTAGCGGGAGCTGTCTAGGCGATTTAAAAATTTAGATTCGTCAGTCAAGTAGCCACTACATATGTCCACCCAGCTACTTGGCTGACTAATCTACAGCGGGAGCTGGAATATTTTTCTAATTTCGGTGTTGCCCAGCTCCGTTGGTTCAATTTTGGTTTGCGATGTTAAATTTGATGGTTATGCCCTGCCTACTTACGTGCTATGAAAAGGAACAACGGTGTTGTAGCAAGGAAAGCAGCCATAACGCTGCAGGAAATCCAGTCGGAGACCATAGCGATAGGATGATAGAACACACCAATTCCAATCTGCAAAAGTTCAAATCTATCAACAAACGGCTTCATAAACAATGGCACGAAGATCAGAATGTTCTCAGTTATCTATTTGTTTACTTACTTTATTTGTACAAGCAGATATATGTAGGTCGTGAGGAAGCGGATCTATAGCTCACGAAACGCTCGCTCCTTCCCACTCCCACCACACCGTATGAACTCAATTCAGCAGAACAGTGAACGAAACGATAAGTTCCTAGTCCACTTGTTAACATACTACCGGTCGGCTCATACATGTCCAGTCCAAAGCGATTTTAGACCACGCCTCCTCTTATTGGACCTTTCTAGTAAAGTTTTTTTTCAAGATATATTTTAAAGAGGCCTGGACTTTTTATGACTTATAGTGACCTCCGAAGATCATTTATCTTCCAAGGAGGAGTGGGAGGGGGAGGACCAACAGGTCTGGCATTTTGCAATGATGTGTAGATGGAATTTTGAGCAGAAATTTGTTCTTTTCAATAAACTCGAATTCCCAGATGCATTAAGTGAGCTCTGATGCCTCTCTAATAACTAATGTCGTACCATAGCCATTATCGTTAGCAAATCACCACAACTGGCAGCAATTGGTGTACCAATATTGTCTGGATTGATAGCTTTCCTATAACTGTAGACCACCAGCACAACCATAGCTGTAAAAGTTATCGGTCAGTAACCAGTGTCAACTAGAAAATAAATTTTGTACTAAAGGGACCGCTAGGTCCATTTTCTTAGAAGAGAGGGGAGGTCTGGTGATTTTTGCTTTCGGGGTGGGCAGTGCATTTTGCTTTTATTCGGAGACTTCCTCACAGGTGACCGCCACAGGCGGAGGCACACTATTCCTCTACATTGACTTGTCCAGCCAACGTGAACGCGATCGTTTCAACTTTTCTAGGATAGCCCAAGTGGCAGAATCAGGAAGAGTGAAGCGTTCAGTCCGCTCCTCCTGTACCATGGATACGGTGACCATTCGTCAATGTTTAACCCCATCTGATGGCTTACATAACCAGCTTCCAAAGTCACAAGGCTCAAACCGTTCACCATTGTGTCACATTCTAGATGGGTGACGGAACCTCTCCGCATATTTCCACTTTCGCCTTGCGGCGTGAAGCAAATCTTTTTTGGTTATCTCATGGCTTCAAACTGCGTTACCGTACTCAGTCGCCTCCCTACCAATCGATAGGGCCCAAATTTTCGTTGACTGCCTTACTTACTTACAGAAATTAGCATATAGAACCCTTCCTGAAGATGTGTAAGCCGTGCAACTTCACATGGGCTTGACGGTGCTGAGATTTCATACCGATCTTGTTCAATAAAGCTTTTTTCGCCACTCCAAGAAGAACACTTCGCCCATCGAAAGCGACAATTTTCCATTCTTCCATGATGTCGATACTTATAACGTTTCTAAGATTTCCAGGCATGCGATTGACTTGATCGCAATCCATTTTGAATATTTTTTTATTTCGAAAAGGTTCGAAAATACTAACCAACTGACGAAATTGCACTTGCAATACACATTGCAAACAGGGAGTTCGATCCCAGGAAGAGGAAATCGCCTACAGGCGGTTGCTTTTTACGGCTTTGCAAAAGACCTTCTAATGCGAACGTTATGAGCACTGAGAATAGGCTGATGAAAATACCCTGTGCCTGTAAATCCATTCCTATTAACGATGACAAGGTGCTTCCACGAAAACTAGCTACATACCTCCAGAAGAGCTATGCTTCTGAGTATTCGACGTGCATATCCCGCATCTCGAAGGCGCCCTCGATGAGCCTGAAAACATCCAGAGCCATTCAGAGAAGGGAAGTGGTTTCCCACCTGAATCCCAATGGTCTACTGCACAGTCGGAACCCTTCTAATTAAAAAGGCCAAGGTTCGATGGACTGTAAAAAGCAATGAGGTCTAAAATTATCATTGGGTGAGAACATGAGAGGGCGGAGGTGATGAAGTGACAAGTGGCGCATCATCACGCAACTTTTTGCCAAGGAACGAATCTCGGATCGGTATCTAAACAGGTATCAGACCTTTCTTCTCTCCGGGTCGGTTCATTGGTACCNAACACTCTAAGAGGAGAAAAGTACTAGCACACCAGCTGGCAACCGCAAGTCGTTGTCAGGGCCTATACGCTTCGAAACCCATGTGCAACTTTAAGAGCGCGTTGAAGGCGTTTCCTAAGACAGGACTGGTCTACGCCGAGAGGTTTATCCTTCGAGAACTTTAAGTCTTACCATGGTTCCTAATCGTGACGTGAATGTCATATCCAAATTGCCCTTCATACCTTGTAGAGGCACGCATATTGCAATCAAATGGGGCACCTTCAAAATAATATTTATATTCATTGGTTTTGAATTCTAATAGAATATTTTATTAATCGGCTTTTTAGTTCTATGCAAGTGTCTACTGATTCGTGAGGTGCCTTACTTCACACACAAGATCAGTTTTCTGAGCCCGATTGACAATTAGACCACATGCAACTGAACCAAGGCCTCCAACCATAAATGGTATAAGGGTCTGAAGGAATTTAGTCACCAAAAATTTCTTCACAAACGACGTAATTTTTCACATATGTGCCCATATGAGTGCAAAAAACGTTGCCAGACCTGCCAAAATATGTCACTTGTACTTTCCTTTTCCATTATTACGGCCACAAAACTGCTCTTCTGTGTAGGTTCTGGGTACATGGTCATAGACGCCGAATCTTCCGTTGAACTCTAAAATAAAATTTTTCAACCAAAAAAGACACTAAAATGGCTGAATAAATAACGGCTTCAAGTTAGCTCTCGATCGGAATTCGATATCGAAGTGGAAAACTCAGCCGAAATTCCGGTCGAAAGCCTTTGAAATGTCAAACGAAGGAACAAGTAAGGGTCTTGTGAGACGTATTGTGTAGAAGGGGCAGCTCATCATTTGGAATACGGCCATCCAGAACTTCTTGGATGGAGAGAAAGAGATTGGTGAGAATGTCATCCAAGCTCAACTTCCCATTGCGAAGGGTACGAAGAGCTATTCTCACCGTGATTAGGAATATGACTTGAAAAGTTAGTGACTTTCTCAGGGCAAGACTTTCTCAGTGTCGAAAAAAAGGGAGCCAAAAAAGAGTTTTTTTNATTATTTTATTTATTTATTTGACTTCACTGTAGGGTTTAGTATGTTACCGTAGCGAGGCCAATGTTGCTTCAAATGTTGCTGTTTTAAACTTACCCTGGTAAGACCGGAAAGGGAGGTATGGTTGCTTGTTGCCGTCTTGTCTTGTTGACCACTTCCTCCGCCACTGGTATGCAAACTCTTCATTTTAACTTGATCATCATTTGACGCACTGTTTGATTTGTGATCGGATGACATCTTGAGCTGTCATAAAGCTGTATAAGTAAGAGTGTACCGTTTTGGTGCTCTTCAATTCTAGCTTTGGGATGCGCTCATGCATTGGACGTTCGTTCAGAATCGTAGTAATGTTTGAATGCGGGCGTGTACACAGTTTGTTTGAGCTGACCAATATAAGAAGTATTCGAGTCCTGCCAGCTGTGCCTGTTATCAGTTAAGCGACTCGGGACGAGATGAACGGCCTGGTTGATCAGCTATAGGATTACATGAAGAGAATAGTGTGACAGTTATTGTCGGATTTGGGATGAGTGATGGTTTTGGCCCCTTCTCGAATCGTGGCGACACTGTGGTACAAAACATGGTATCCTTCGTCGTCTTTGTTGATTCAAACGAGATTGACAAGCGATTTAATCCCCGAAGCAAGCAATTGATACAGGATCCACCGGCCCTATCCAAACCACGCCATCACTCTTTACTCCTCCCATCCTCGCTTGCCAGCTTCAAAATTCCTCATGGTTCAACCTACCCGAGCATAATCCTGAGTAATCCTTACTATGCTTCCTTCCGGAATCATACCACCTGTTCTCCCAGTGCTTGTATGGGCCATCACCACATCTCTAAAGTGAAGACGAGTGCCTAGCCCATGCTGAAGAATAATCGAGCGCTGTGATTTCTTTGCAATTCTTACTCCTGCTGATGGAGGGGGAGCGGGGGGGAGGGGGTTGGAGTGGAAGGATATAACCTAAGCCCCCGGACAAACTTCTCTACAATGAAAAGCATGATAGTGCTGATTATGTTACATATAAAAGGGCGCCAAATGATATGTATCATCCCACTTCCCAATGAAATCAGATAGCATTCTTGAGTCGGTCGTAGCCATCGTCAGCCGTAATCGATACCTATTTTTCGACCAGGACTTACGCAGTCTTCATGTATCGAAAAGGTGGGGGAGCCCCACCAGTTCCTCTCTGGCTCCACATCTATTGAAAATTCTTCAAGAGCAAAATGTTCATTGAGTAAGAAGGCGAAGAGAGTCCCTTAGTTAGGTAGGAAGGGCGCCAACGAGCGAGCCCGATCTTTGCCGGCGACTAAAGGGCCAGCCAGCGCTGCTGATTTGTCCTCGGCAAAGGACCTTCGGAAGACAGTAAGTGGAATCATCCTTCAGTTTACGACAAACTTTTATAGTCCCCTTCTGATGGGTAGATGCCTACCAATGAGACTTACATATAACTTTCTCGGAAACCCCACTCTTTCACTGGGTGCCCCGCCCTGGGTGCCGTAGGATACCGCACTTTCGAAACCGGAGAGCAACGTACCTTCTTATAGTATGACCATACTAACAATAGTGCTTACTTGCTTATTCTTTCCAGGGTAACTGTTACTGATAATGCAAAGCTTGAAGCTGAGCAATGCTTATCAGCTTCCTTTTCAATATATCGTGACGGTCAAGTAGCAGGAAGCAGTTTGAAGAACCCTATCTGTGGCTTAGCCGATCAAGTGCTAGATCCCACTAGGTCATATTCACCAACTCCCAAAAACTAGAACGCAATAGATCCCAACCAAGTAACCACCTTTCCAAGGTTCCACCGGCGCGGAGCTCTCTTTGGGACTTCCCATCAGCTTTGTGTCCTTGTCTTTCAATACTCAATAAAACTAGTGTACTAGTCACAATCCAAGCTAAAAATCAGGTTCTTAGCAATCAAGTGGAATGAGCCGTGGCCCCTTAATTTGCCACGGCGCTCTATGGAGAATCTGTGCTCGGTAGTGAAGCCTGGGGATTTTTGTTAATCGCTTTCTCCCTAACGTCCACGCTTCATTTTTGATTGTAACTTGTACCTTTTTTTTATTGATGTCATGGATAATGTGATGGGTGCCAATTTTTACATGTTGTTGTGATTTAGTACTGGGAGATCAACAATGTTATTCTCAAGTGCGCTAGCAAAAAGTGGTTAGTTTATTTTTTAACCCAGTTCGTTACCTCTGAATATTTTGATGCCAGGTAGAATGGATGGGGCACGTGTCAAATTTGAACCCCATACTGGTGATCCAGAAAGAGATCTTGCCTACGAAAGGGAACGAAGGCGAATAGGTTAGCTTTGTTGTGTCTTCATTATTTTTTGAGCCATTTTAACTAGTTCAATTAATTTGGAGAGTATTTGGGAAATTATACTGTATTTGAATCTTGAAAGCTATCTTCTTTATCTGTTTCAGTGGATGAAGATGGCGTGCCAACAGAAGTTGCTGATTACCTTGATTATTTTGCTCAAATGATCGAGAAGAAAGACGTCCCAGAAATCCACAACCTATATGAACAACACTTTCCGGATTTAACTGAAAGGTATGTGTCATAGTTGAGCCTTTTTGTCATTAAAAAAGGTGTTATGTATGCAATAAGGAGAGTAATGGCTTATAAACTAGATGAATAGGCCTCTTAAAAAGCCTACAAAGTTACCTAGCCGAAAAACTCTCGGAGAAGGCATTTCACATAAGTAGTTGAATTTATTTACTTATCAGGAAATGTTAATTATGCGATGTAGTATGTTATCAACTTCCGACTTTTCATAGGTTCTACCGAGAGAGAATGTGGCCGGATGAGCAAACGGTTGAGAGCATTGTCGGTAGTGGTGAGTACAGCTATAGAATTTCAATTTTTGATTATAGCTTGTCTAGTTTTTTATTATAAATGTGTTTTTCTTCGATAGTCAAAAGTGTCATCTTATGAAATCGTATTCGATTGGAAGCAAGTTTTGCGTAGCATTTTTTTCACCATATTTGAACTGAATCAGCTCCAACTTGTATCCTATACAGCGCAGTACTATCGAATATGAAACGAGCAGAAAACCATGATAGTCGCTTCTTTATTGATGTTTGGTGGTAGCTAGTCCCCAACAAGTTAATCAATTTCAAGGTTGACCAACCAGGCTGAGTTTAGTAGTAGTGGCTTACAGAATGTAGTAGTAGTT